TTTTTTGGGAAAATCACAGCCAGCGGGGGAGGCGGGCGGCGGGGGCGGAAAGGCCCTTGCGAGTTGGAGGGAGCATCACGGAGCTTGGCCAATGAGCTGTGGAAGAATAGGGGTTAGCAACCTGGCGCAAGATGACGTGGTGCTGATTCGGCGTAGCTACCCCCGAGCTAGTAGAAGACGAGTACATACACCAACATAATCCTCCAGCTCGACTCTTCTTGAGGAGTCGAGCTCAACCTCCTTTAGCGCTTGACGAACGACATCGTATGGCTTGCGCTCACTGGTCTGAGTGGCCTTGATGGCGGTAGCCTCATCAATGTAACCCTTGTCGTCAACGTCGAGCTTACGGAAGGCGTCGGCTAACGAGAAGATCTCGGGCTGTTGGAATTGAGGGAATTTCCTAGGTAGCTACATGTCAGCTTGAGGCAAGCAAAACAATGCGCGCGTGTTTCTTTGTTGGGGGTAGACTGGTCCCACCTCTGGATCTTGAGGACGTTCATGGTGATGCGGGGGATTCGGAGAAGCGCGCAGAAGTACGTGGTAACTGTACTGGTGTGTCTCTAAGATAGCTTGATGATGCTTGTAGATGGTACTCAAGAAGAGGAGTAAGTAAAGCAAACGAAACCCGAGACGGCCGCGCGCCTTTAGCAAACAATGGAAGTTCCAGGTTTTATGTTTGGCCGGGGAAAGGGTCGTCGTAATCGTGTGATTTTTAGACGGTAGGCTTCAATGTCCAGGGCAGGTGGAGGAAATAGGGGAGTTTCCATGCTGCACTCCTTCCAAGGCTGGCGGGGGCGGGGGTTCCCAGGCGGCCTGGCACTGATGTAATCGCCTGGGCAGATACCAAGCCACAGAGGGATTGCGTAAGGTAACGGCCCAACCAGATGCAAGGGGCGGTGAGTTAGGGAGTGACCTTTTCAGGGTCATGATTCAGGGGTTATACTGCATAAGTCGCGTACCCCACGAACAGCAACACCAAAAAAATTACTTTTTGCTTTCCTGTCTTGGCATCTCGAAATAACTTCACCTTCACTCACACACACTCCAAGCTTCAGCAAAACGTGAGGTGAGCAGATCTCATCACATACCACTCTCACTCAGGTAATTACTCACTAATTAAACTTACATAATAATATCGTACTAACTACCTCACCTAGTACCTCGTCACCTCACCTCACCTTACCTACAACCCTCACATCTCCGCCTTCCACCTCAAACCACCCCCCCAAAATGTCCCTCTGCAAATCCTGCCACCAACCCTTAATCCTCCAATTCGAGCCCGACTCAGAAGACGAGTCCCTCGCCCCCCCTGTAGACCAACCCCCCATCCCCGACGACCTCCACCTCCCTTGCCAATGCCACTTCCACTGGCAATGCCTCCTCGACCTCTCCTCCACCGTCGCCCTCACCCTCAACTGCCCCTCCTGCACCACCTACCTCCCCTCCAACCCCCCCACCGGTTCCGGTTCCGCCTCAGGCTCCTCCACCAACCCCTTCCTCCCCACCTCCCAAGCCGCCCAAATCCTCACAACCTACACCAACGAAGGCGGCGTCCAAGAAAACCTCAACATCCTCCCCCACCTAACCGAAGAAGCCTACCTCTCCGCCAACCCCCAGTTCCGCCCCGCCAAAGCCCTCCACACCCTCGCCAGCGAGGGGGACACGGCCGGCATTCTTGAGTTGTTGGCTGATGTCGACGCTGACGAGGACATCACCCTTTCTCTGCCTCAGCTCCTCTGCTGGCAGGACCCTTTGAACGAGTCCAAGACTGCGATGCACCTCGCTCTTGAGAACGAGCAGGAGGAGGTGTTTTGGCTGCTTTTGTGGCTCGAGAGCGGGGTTCACACTTCTGTTTTTCCAGAGCAGGTGGTGCAGAGTTGTGAGGGTGTGGGCCTGCCGAGACGGGGGACGGTTCCCCAGGAGGAGGATGTCAGGTTTATCAAGGATGGGAAGGGGAGAACGGCGGGGGATTTGTGCCGGGAGTTGGGGGGCGCGTGGGGGAGTTATGCAGAGATGTTGGGGATGATTTGAGGGGATGGAGATGAAGGGGGGGATGGGCATAGCATATGATACCAACAATGGGATGGGATACATAAAAAGCGGTTGGCTGTTTAGAGATATCACAAGCGTTGATAATACATACATACCCTACAGTGAACATCGGATCTGTTCCTTCATGTCAAAAGCACCACCTCTCCTATGCCCAAACATCAACAGTTTCTATCTCTCTGTAACAATAAGGGTATATCCATCCATCCATTCCTCTTCCCAATTTCCCCCGTCTAATCATACATACATTCATTAGCATCACACACTATCATCACACCCTCGGCGTCCTCACCCTCTCCCCCTGCAACAGCTGCGAAAGGACAAAATGAGCCACATCCTCATCCGCCCAATAACTCATATGCGACGCAATCGTGTTCATCGGGTTAAAGTCAAGCACACTCCTACAATTCCACGTTAGCACCATCCTCATCTCCCCACCTTCATGCCAATTCACTTACTCCTGAATACAATAATCCACCCTCCCATTCCTATTCAACCCCCTAATCTTCCCCTCCTCCCTCCTCATCCTCTGCGCCCTCCTCTCTTCCTCCAACCACCTCTCCTTCGTCAGCACATCCCCCCCATTCCCATCGCCCTTCTCCCCCCCACCACCATCCGCCCTCTCAACCCTACTCTTCTGAAACCGACTAAACAACGTCTCCAACTCCTCATCAATCAACGCCCCCCCATCCTTCCCTCCCCCCGTAACCGCCGCAATCGCCATCTGCCTCTCCGCCGTCTTCTCGCTTTTTTCCACATGATCCTCCATCTTACTGTTGCCCCCTCCCTCCGCCGCCCCAAGCTGCTTCTCCTTCCCCGCACCACTACCTGGCGACCCAACCGGACTGAGACTCAACTCCCTCTCCCGATGATGCGAAGCATTGATATTATTCACATCCTCCTGCGTCAGCCCCAAACTCCGATTCAGCAAGCTGCTCGCGATCCCAGCAGAGAAACTGCTCCACAACCCCGTCACGCTCTGCCCAACCTTTGCCCCCAAGCCCGTCAGCCCTTGAGGGGCTACACTCCCAAAGATGGTCTTTTTTGTATAGGGCAATGCCTGCGGCTTGAGAGTAGACATGGCCTGGGATATCAACGGTTCAAGTCGGTACGCGATCGGATCCGACGGGTGGAAAATGTTGAACAACTGAGAGACTTTGGGAGAGGAGACACTGAACGGGTGGCCAGTAATAGGAGAGAGGTGTTGATCGCTGGCATACGAATACGCCGGTGCAGACAAAAAGGGATCCTCCATGTAATCCGGATTCAGCGGGCTCTCCGACGGGACAGCATTGGGCAGATTCCTAGCGGAAATTGTCCTCCCCTTGAGCATCTGGAACAATCCGATCGGTGACCCTAGACAATAAAAGTCCGCCACGTCAAAGTCGAAAGCCAGATCTTTGCTCTCCTTTGGTTCGAATCTATCTTCCGAAGAGGCAGCAGGCCAGATTCTCAAAGGGTTTCGCGGCAGCGAAGCGGCAGGTGCCCTTTCCTTTTGTCGGCAGAGAATGTCAAACATGATGGCTGAGCCGAGGGAATGCCCCACAATGTGGACTTTGCCCTTGAACTCTGGGTTGCGTTCCTTGAAGGTCTTGTAGATGTGGTTGGATTCCTTGACAACAATGTCGGCGATTTGCTCCCGGTAGGCGCTCTGGTAGAGAAGCACGTCGAGGGCGAGGTCAGAAATAAGGGAACGGGCGAAAGCGAGGCCTTCAATGGTGATATCCTCCAGAGACGGGTACTCGTCCTCCTCGTCAAATGCCTCGGCGAGATCGTGTTCTCCTCTTTTTGGCTTGCGCTTGGGAAAGTCGAGACGGTGGCGCCAGACCACAGGCAGCACCTGAACTCGACAGTTACCTGGTCCGCTTTCCCCAATCTCAGAATTGAGTGCCCGTAAATCTGCGGATACAGAGTACACATTCTTGAAATTCTTGCGAAGAATATTCACATCGTGAACAAAGTTGATGCTGTCCATCCTGCGAGATAGCAACTGCCCGATGCCGTGTGTCACCAACACCAGGTGCTCGATATCACGGCCTTGGTTCTCACCGGCGTTGGTATTGTAATCACCCATCATCTCCTTCTCTTCTCGCACCCTGATAGCCTCGGCTTCAGCTTCTGGGTCCTCTGCCCGCTCCATCAAATTGGACAGTTGGCGAGATAAAGAGTTCTGAGGATTGTCGGGCTCCATGTCTGCACCCTCATCCAGACTGGGCCGCACGCTCGTGGGCGGTGCAGATCGCCTCTTGAGGGCCTTTGGTGTCTCATCGCCCTTCTCGTTGGATGTTGATTTTGTTCCCGCTGGTGTCACTGGCCGCTTCTCATCCTTTTCCTTGACCTTCTTCGCCTCAGTGTACCCTCGCACTAGTTTCACACCACTCATGTATCCACCACCTGCAAACCTTTCGTACATTGTCGATGTAACCCACGACAACATCCCATCAGAGGACAACCACGCTGTATTAGAATCCTGATACGTTGCCACGCTGTTCATATAACTACCGAACAACCGATAGGTCTGCGGTTGATGTTGGGGTACACTGGCTGCAGTCTTTGCGCTGGTTTTGGCCTGGGATTCATCGACAATCTTCAAGTTCTCCGAGGAATCCTTGGGTGTTGGTCCCTTCGTCGACGGGTTCGAGGGTGCCTTCGGGTATCGCCATGGCTTGACCTTGAGATATCCCTCCTCAAGCTGAGCAGCCAGATTCTCCTCACAAGGCCGGAGCGTGGAGCCCTCTTGATAGAACCAACTTCCGCGCCGCACCTCGTACACGGGACCCTCCCAGTAAATGGGCGCAAGTTCCCGCTCTTCAATATCCACATCGAACAAAAAGTCTTCGTTTACGGGCACTCTTGTTTTGGATCCGCTACTGTCTGTGTCTTTTTCTCCTTCGCCAGACACAGCCCGTGGGCGCTTAGTCCCTGTGCGAGCAAGCGCATTCCCGGTGAAAGCGTTCCGTTCCTCTTCGAGCTCCTGTAGTCTAGCCTGGTATGCGGCCTCCACGGCCCGCGAATCTCGGGGATCAAAGGCGACGTATTTCTTTGGCTGGGCAGGTTTGGCATCGGAAGCGGCCTTGGTGATCATAAACTTGGGCTTGCGTTTTGGCACCTAAAGCCAATGCTCAAAATTAGTTTGAATCTTTCAACACTTTCCAAAGAAACACTCACGTCAACAGCATGGAACCACTGTATATTGGGCGGGGGACAGTCTGGTGGATATCGTTTGAAGCTTTGGCCATAAAAGGGATTCAATATATGGTCGACGGTAATGGGGGGGCCGAGGGCTGGCTGAGGATCTTTCGGCGTGGGTGTTGCACTGCGAGGTCCAGCCCAGGGATTGATCGAGTCGACGGCGGAAGCAAGATATGACTTCTCAACCTTCTTTTCGACAGCAGTATTTGGGGCCGGCGTGGAAGCCATAGCTCCGGGATGTCTGGGTGACCCAGGATTCGGTTTGGGAAAGCCGCTCGCAGTCTTCCAAATATATCGACGGTTTGAAAAGAAAGGGTAGCGTTGTAAGGATCGCCCAACAGCTCTCCTCGGCCGGATCAAGCGATAAAGCATGCAGCTTTTGATGCCAGTTGTTGATTCGCTTATCTTGCTCGAGACCAGGAAAGGACTTGGCACAGCAACCAGAGGCTGAAGGAATGGGCAAAGGAAATTGGCTAAACAACGGAAGAAGAAGTTATTGTGTGGTTCTTCTGCTCAATATTTCTAGCACCTTTTCATCAAAGCCAGGAAAACAGGTCCAACACAAGAACGGGGTCTCTTGTTTCGGCCCACGCCTTGGACATCTCTCCGGCCAAAGCTCGTGACATCCGCAACGACCGGCAGCAGCAAATGATGACGGAGGGTGCCTGGAGAACTGCTGTTGATTGGACGTAGAAAAACCGTTGCCCCGCAGTCTTCCCGGCAGGCTGGGGAACTTGGAGACTGTGCTCCGGTACTTTCCTTCCCGCACTGGAGCAGGCAGAAATAAAGTATATCTGCCAAGACCTCAAGTACAGCTCATCCTCAGTTGATCCATGCGCTTGCACCAAAAGTGTCAGGGGTAGGTGCATGGGATGGTGGGGCACATCTTTCGGGATTGGAGTCATTCAGTTGCTTAGCCTTGCCCCGCCTTGCGCCGACAAAATTATTCTCGGTTGCAATCGCGAACCACTTTTGACACGCCTCGAACCTTGAACCACTTGTCGTCGCCAACCAGCCACACTTTGCTGGGAAATCAAGTAGTTATCCCACAATTCCACACCCCTCCGCTGGTATTTCTTTTACTCTAAATCTCACCAACAGCAGCAGCAACTTAGACGTCGCCATCTCCATCGACACATTCCCGGCGAGCCCGCTATGAGCAGGTAGCATAGCTACCTTGAGGGGCAATTCGTTGTTCCATCTCGCCGCGACCACACAACCACACCACACCACACAATCACATCACAAAATGGAGTCGGAAGTAGAGGCCGGCAGGGCCTCCGAGAACCGCAAGACCTTGGTGAAGGACCAGCTCCCAAAGCGCTTCAAAGCCCTCAAGTTCGGCATTCAATCCACCCAAGACATTCTTAATCAAGGTGTGCTCGAGGTCTCCGACAATCTGCTCTACGATGTCGAAAACAATCGAGCTCCCTTCAAGCATGGACCCCTCGATCCCCGCCTGGTGAGTATCAACACTTCCTTCGTCATCCTTTGTCCCATGTCATAGCTAACCTATCCCCCACAGGGAACCTCGAGCCCGAAACCCGATGCGAAATGCCACACCTGCCACCAAGATCTGATGGGCTGCCCTGGTCATTTTGGTCACGTCAAACTTCCACTCCCCGTCTTTCACATTGGCTATCTCAAATACATCCAGGCGACCCTGCAAAACATTTGCAAATCATGCTCCAGGATCCTCCTGACCAACGAGGAGCGCCGCCGGTTCCTCAGATCACTCCGCCGGGAACAGGACAACATGGCGCGAACAGCCGTACTCAAACGCATCAACGAGCAGTGCCGGAAAGTGAGGAACTGCTACCACTGCGGTGACCTGCAGGGAACCATCCGAAAGCTGAGTTGCATGAAGCTTGTCCATGACAAGTTTGTGGCCTACAACAAGTCGACGGCCCAGAAGAAGGTGGCACCCGAAAGCAAGATCGAGTTCGATGCCTCCTTTGAGAGCGCCAAGGCCCATTTCGCAGAGCTTGGAAAGCACACCCGCCGTGCCATGGATGATATGCATCCCCTCAAGGTTCTCAACCTGTTCAAGGAGATCAACTCGGTCGATTGCGAGCTGTTGGGCCTAGATCCTGCCGAAGGACGACCCGAGATGTTTCTCTGGCGGTACCTCCCAGCCCCCCCCCTTTGTATCAGACCATCGGTCGCCCAGGAAAGCGCAAGCAACGAAGACGACATTACCACAAAGTTGGCCGAAATTGTCATCTATAGCGCACATTTGCGCGAAGCTATGCTAAAGGGTGCGCCGCTTCCTTCCCTCATGGAGCAGTGGGAATTCCTCCAGCTGCAGGTCGGCATGTACGTCAACAGTGATGTGCCTGGCCTCGTCCAGCAAGGCTTTGGCAAGGTTACTCGTGGCTTCTGCCAACGTCTCAAGGGAAAGCAGGGGCGCTTCCGTGGCAATCTCTCGGGCAAACGTGTGGATTTCAGTGGGCGTACTGTCATCTCCCCCGATCCGAATCTGAGCATTGAACAGGTGGCCGTCCCCGAACGTGTCGCCAAGAACCTCACATACCCCGAGCGCGTTCACGCGAACAATATTCAAAAACTCAAGGCTTGTGTGAGAAACGGCCCGACTGAATACCCTGGCGCGTTGCAAATCACCAAGAACCAAGGCGAGGAGAATGAGATGAAGTTTCTATTGAAGCACATGAAGCCTCACATCCTTGAGAAGAATGCGGACAACCTCCGGATTGGAGATGTTGTAGAACGGCATCTTGAAGACAACGACATCGTCCTGTTCAATCGTCAACCCTCACTTCACAAACTGAGTATCATGAGCCATTACGCGAAGATCAGACCTTGGAGGACGTTCCGGCTGAACGAGTGTGTTTGCTCGCCATACAATGCCGATTTCGACGGTGATGAGATGAACCTTCACGTCCCACAGACAGAGGAGGCGAGAGCAGAGGCTATCAACCTGATGGGCGTCAAGAACAATCTGTGTACTCCCAAAAACGGCGAGCCCATCATTGCCGCCACCCAGGATTTTATTACCGCTGCTTATCTGTTGAGCGGCAAAGATAGGTTCTACGACAGAAGCAGCTTTACCTACATTTGCACACAGATGCTTCTTGGCGATACCTATCTGGAGCTTCCGCCTCCTGCCATCCTCAAGCCCAAAGCTCTCTGGACTGGCAAGCAAATCTTCAACGTCATGATGCGGCCCAACAAGGAGTCGCCTGTCTTGGTCAACCTCGATGCCAAGAACAAGGTCTACAACAAAGGAAACCTCCAGCCTCCAGACATGGACATTGACGACTCGTTCCTGGTTGTTCGCAACTCCGAGGTTATCTGCGGCCGCATGGACAAGTCCACGGTTGGAGAGGGCAAAAAGAACTCTGTGTTCTATGTCATTCTGAGAGACTATGGAGCCGACTATGCTGCCGCCACGATGAACCGTCTGGCCAAGCTCTGTGCCAGATCTTTGACACTGCGCGGCTTCTCTATCGGTGTTGGTGATGTGTTTCCTTCGCAGGCATTGACTGAACACAAGCTCATGCTCCTCGAAAAAGCCACGACGGTGTGCGACGGATTTATTTCCCAAGCAGAAAACGGGACTCTTGAGAAGGCTCCAGGTTGCGACATGAAGGAGACTCTGGAGACCAAGCTTTCGGGAACCCTGAGCGCTGTCCGTCAAGCTGCCGGTAGCTACTGCACCGAGAATCTCAGCAGAAACAACGCACCTCTCATCATGGCCAAGTCTGGGTCCAAGGGTTCCGAAATCAACGTGGCCCAGATGATTGCCTGTGTCGGTCAACAGATTATCGGCGGCAAGCGTGTCGCTGATGGATTCCAGAACCGAACCTTGCCTCATTTCGAAAAGGGCGACAAGCGCGCGGCTGCCAAGGGCTTCGTCAAGAACAGTTTCTACACCGGTCTGCATCCTACCGAGTTCTTGTTCCACGCCATTTCTGGCAGAGAAGGTTTGGTCGACACCGCTGTCAAGACGGCCGAGACGGGTTACATGTCCAGACGCTTGATGAAGTCGCTGGAGGATTTGTCGACTCAGTACGATGACACGGTGCGCACCTCGGAAGGAGGCATTGTCCAGTTCCAGTACGGTGCAGACAGGCTCGACCCAGTGGACATGGAGGGAGATGCCCGGCCTGTCAACTTTGATCGGACCTGGAACCACTCCCAGACCATCACTTGGAACAACTCGGAGAAGGGGTTGCTGCCGTCCGAGATACAGAAACTGACCAAGGAGTTACTGGACAGACAGCGGGCGCTCTATGTCCGACGTGACATGCTTACCGGCGAGGTCATCACTGGGCTTACCGATGAGCAGATCCGCACGAGCACGGACCGCGCAGCGTATATGGCTGTCGACGAGCACGACGCCGCGAGAGAGTACCTCAACAGTGTGCAGACATACATCACACAGAGAGCCACCAAGCTGGCCAGGATTCGCAAGTCGGTCGGCCTCGATCCAGGCGTGTTAGAAGACGACCTTGCCATGCAGGCTGCAGTTAATAGGGTGAACAAGGGTGGATCCGAGATGGATATCGATCTGGATGATGAGGCGCGCGCCAAGGGACAAAAGCACGCCGACCTCACGGCCAAGGTGTCGGAGGCCAGTCTTCGGAAATTCATCGAGCTATGCCTGGAGAAGTACAAGAAGGCACAGGTCGAGCCAGGTCACGCTGTAGGAGCCGTGGGCGCTCAGTCGATCGGTGAGCCTGGAACGCAAATGACGCTCAAGACGTTCCATTTCGCCGGTGTTGCCGGCATGAGTATCACCCAGGGTGTCCCGCGCATCAAGGAGATCATCAACGCCTCCAAGACGATCAGTACGCCTGTCATCACTTGCGTCTTGGAGAACACTAAGGATGTCAGCGCGGCCCGGGCCGTCAAGCACAGGATTGAAAAGACCTACATCAAGGATATCCTTGACTATGTGGATGATGTGTGGCTGCAGGACGTCGCCAAAATTGTGCTCAGGCTTGAGAAGGATGGTCTTGAGAACCTGGAGCAGATTGGGATAACGACTACCGATATTGCCGACGCCATTGTCAAAGCCAAGAAGCTCAAGTTGAAGATTGAGCCAGAAGACCTGAAGGTGAACAAGAATGTCATTGAGGTTCTCGTCCACAACACATGGCAGGATGCGACGGCGGCGAGAAAGGCGGCCAGGCAACGCGCTGCGGCTCTGGAAAAGGGGCTGACTGTCGCCAATCCAGGGGATGAGTCGGCAGCCGACTTCCAGTTGAGAGTCAACTTCCTCAAGCGCATGTTGCCGGAAGTGCCCATTGCCGGCCACCCCGAGACAACGAGAGCGATTATCAATGTCGACAGCAAGACTTCGGCGCATACAGTTCTGGTGGAAGGTTACGGACTGCGCGCTTGTATGACCACAGAAGGTGTGGTTGGCACCAAGTGCTTGACCAACTCGGTCATGGAATGTCGCGATGTGCTGGGTATTGAGGCGGCCCGCACAACCATTGCCTTTGAAATCCAGCAAGTCATGGGCGACATGAACATCGACCCTCGTCACATGGAGCTTTTGGCCGATGTCATGACATACAAGGGCGACATTCTCGGCATCACGCGCTTCGGCCTTGCCAAGATGCGCGACAGTGTTCTCCAGCTGGCTTCTTTCGAGAAGACGCCAGACCATTTGTTTGATGCCGCTGCTGGTATGAAGACAGATCGGATCTTGGGCGTCAGTGAGTGCATCATCATGGGCCAGACCATGTCGATAGGGACAGGTTCGTTCCAGGTGGTCAGACGTCTTGGTCTCTATGACTGGCAGCTCAAGCCCAAGCCCTCTATGTTTGATGAGATATGGAAGAAGACGCACTCCAAGCTTGGCAGGGGTCGAGCCCGGCCGGCGATGGTTGCGGCGGCTTGTTAAGCAGAGAGGATGGTTTTATGTCTGGGTTCGTTGAGTTTGGTTTGGAAAGGCGGGACGGGACGGTCTTCATGCGGAGTTGAGCTGAGAAAACGGTTGGGACAATTACTAGCTTTTTTTATTGTAAATATCGATATGGTTGATGGTTAAGAACTAGATTAATTAGTTTTCCTCAGTTGAACTTGACTGACGTGAGTAGCGGTCTGGACGTAGTGTGAAGTCGAGAGTCGGCCAAACACGAGGCACATGGCTGTGTGTGTGCGTGTCTGACATGAGATAAATACCTTCCAGAAGATGCTTCTTCCACCTTGTTTGTATGCCTCAACTCTACCGGACGCCTATTAGCTATTACAAATGAGCCTGGTGAACCGAAGCATTTCCCTTATCCCCAGTAGTCTCCTACCATGATGAAACCCGCACCGGGCATTGACGTGTCAATTACTTTTTGCTCCTGTGACACCACGGTTGTAGCGAGTGATATAAATGTCACCGGTGCTCTTGCGCTGGTTGCAGCCTTCTTCTACCCGCATTGCGGTTCCACAGTACGATTGCTCGACTACAACGATGTTACACGCTTCGATGATATTCACCACCGCTACGGTGCTGTTCGGTCCGGCGGTAGGCTTTCTCTAATAAGAGGTAAAAGGGGTCCTTGAAAGTGACTTCCTCACGAATATTAGATTTTTCAACGTCTACATTCCGAACGACTTCCGGATTAGGTTTACCTTTACGCCAGCGCAGATCGAAGAAGGTAGGAATTCCGGGAAAGTGGGGGGAATAGTACCCAAATAGCAGGCATAAAGCATTTCAACGTTTAACAATAAGAGGACCTTTACGGACCCCCCTGTTTATCTTGCCAACGCCCCCTTCCCTATCTACCGATTTACTTACCCTTCTTATAATATAGTAAAAGGCTTTCAAAGATGATTCAAAGACCTTTAAAATATCTTTTAAAGCCTCTTAACTATCTTTTAAGGCTTATTAAATATATTTAAATACTTAATAATTATTCTCCAAATATAATTAAATTCTATATGACGGGTGGAGGGAAGACGTTGGTTAGATAAACAGGGGGCTCCATAAAGGTTCTCTCTTGATAATCCGATCAATACCTCAAACGGTAGCCTGTGTGATGGAGAATTCCAACATGTTCGCTTTCCACGACTTCATTGCCTACCTACTACAGATGGAGAAAAAATAATCACCTACCCAAGTCACTGCACTGGCATATTCATCGAACAGCCACTATCCTAATCTCAATGCTAGTCCTCATCTGTCCAGGAGGCGTATTCGGGTTATTAGCAGCGCAATGAAAGCCCCCTATTCGGTTTACATCATCAGCCACAAACACAAGACTGGCAGTTAGTTTCATGCAAAGGGAAATGGGAAAAAGAATTAAAAAAAATAAACTTACTCGCCCTCTTTCCCGTCGAGTCGACGATCCTGAAAACGAGCACGTCGTCCACCGTCTGCCCGTTGACAAAATACCACCTGTGCTTCTCGTTGAAGTGAAGGAGCGTGTTCTCCATTGCCCGGTCGCGGTGCAGGTCGTCGTTGAGAATCATGTCGTCTGGTTCGACTGAGGCAAAGTCTAGGAGGGTGAGGGGCCAGTCGAAGTTTGGGCCGTGGAGGGGGCGCCAGAGACTTTTTTGGGGGGTGGAGTTGCATGTTAGAGGTGGTTTTTGGATAAGGTAAGGAAAAAGAATCTCGTACTTGATGACGTCAAACTCCTTGTCCTTCAAGTTCTCCCACTGCCCCGGAAAGGAGAGTTCGACATGTCGACCGGAAAACAGCCCGACTGGCGGTGAAAGCCCCGCAAAGACCAGTCGCCAACCATCATCGGCAATGACAAAAACTTTTGGAAGTGGTCGAAAGAGGAGGGCTTCGATCTCACACACCCTCCTGCTGCCCGAAAGGCTGGCATCCAGATCATCTGGGTAACCACAGGCTACTCCGACGAAGACCTAAAAGAGATGGATCCGGGCGTCTTCAAAATGTTCAACTTTGAACAGGTCAAAGTCTCAAAGGATTGGCAGAAGCTTCGACCCGGAAAGGGTTTCAGCAACAAGGGCATGTACAGGAACCAGAAGGGTGTGGGCGACGAGATTGGGGAAGTTACGGACAAGAATGGCAAGGTGATCAATGGCGGGAGAATTTTGGTCAAAGAATCATGGAACAGCTGGCTCCACGATCCACTGTCAGACGCTTACCATAAAGGCAAGAGTTTTGACCCGCCCGATGTCCACTTCTACAAGAACAGAAGCTCAGGCATGTGCGACAGGATGAAGGACGTTACCAATTTCATCAACGAACACAACCTGAGGACGCTGCTCTTTACTGGTATTAACATTGACCAATGTGTCATGGGCATACTGCAAGACGCCTATCTCAAGGGGTTTGACAACGTCTTGCTCAAGGACGGTTGCGCCACTGACAGCCCGTGGTTTGCGCATTGGGGTGTCGAGTTCAACTGCTTGATAAGTTGGGGATTTCTCTCAAGCTGCAAAGATCTTGCCAGGGGCGCTGGCCTTGAGGTGGACGAGGATGAGATCGAGTACAGCCAGGCTCCAGAGGCTCCGAAGCCGACAGAGTCAAATAAGGGCTGCTGTTGTATGTAGACTAGGGCATTTTCTCGTTGCACTCAGAGACAGTCTTTGATGAGTGTCGAGACTGGCATGCTTCCACTTCTTGGCAAGACAACGTCGGCAAGTACGTTAATTGAGCCGATGTACAGATTACCTAGGGTGCGGTGCACCGGCCCTGTGTCCCCCCACCGGGCCTGCTGCAGTTGTATTTTACTGGCTGTCCCTGTAGGTAGACAACCCCGCTCCCGGGACAGAGTAGGCCATAAGCAGCTGGGTCTATCATTTTCCTCTTGGTAAGCTACCGGGCTTTTGCATACTTCAACCACACTTCGTCTGCTCAACCTCCGTCCGTCTTACCTGCACGAAGCTCCCGTCTCGCTCTCAGCGACGGTAATGGACACCAAAGAGTTGTGAGTATCTAATCTGGTCATTGTTCAGGCTGGGAGAAGGTTTCTAATACAAGCATTGCAACGTAGAGAGCAGTTCTTCCAGGAGACATGGGCGTCCCGAGCGGCAAGATGCATGACAAAGATTAAAGATCGTGAGGATAAGCGAAACGTTCGAAGCTTTCGCAGCTACGACGATATCATCGAACATCTCATCAATGACCCTGATGAACCATTCCCCGATGCTGTTCTTGAGGAGCTATCCATGATCCGCCCTCGACTTGTCGAGTTTCGAGACTTTAGCAAGATCTTCGCGGAGAAACTCGGACCAAAGCTCGACCCTAGCTTGTTCTGGGGATTGATGGGGACACTTGTTGTGGCGAGTACATTCCTACAATGAACTTTTGATCATCGACGCCATACTTATACTCTCCTTTGGAACCATAGGTAGCGGCGCAGATAGAGGGAGACGCCACTCGACGGATGACACAGGAAATCAAGAAGCTCAGTCGAAACGTCGAGACGCTACGAGGATACAGCACAGCCGGGGAGGACCTATCCAATAAAGCCAAAGAGGCTGTCTTCGAGACGTTTGTGGTGGCTACCAACTTCTTTGCGGATGCCATTGAGTTCCTCCGGGACGAAGAGCATTTTGCCCGGTCCCGTTCCGCCGGTGAGATCCATGCCGCCCGCTTTTGAAGCTGCCAGATAGGTACATGCGTTGACCACCCCGACCCATCCCCAAAGACCAGGATCCCTGGAGACGCCTCGAAGATATTTGCGAAATAACCTCTCGTGATATCGAAGAGTCAGTAAAGGCAATCGAGAAGGCGGCAGCCATGTCACAGCGGCAGCATGGAGTCACGAACAACGACCTGACATGGCTCTATTCAATGATGTTCATCAACCCACGCTCTTTTAAAGACCAGGCCACTCTACCGTGCATCATGTTGCCTCTTCAAAAAGTCCTAAGTCCTTTGACCGCGATGATGTGATTGAGAAGATCGAGAATCATTTCAACAAGAGGTCCACCCAGACTTTTCGATCCATCGCCTTGTATGGCATTGGTGGCGCGGGCAAAACACATATGGCTATCAAGTAACGTATATTATAAGCGAGCGACCAATATAAGCGAGCGACCACCTTTTTCACGCGACGCGTAACCTCAACCTCAACACCTCATTTTCTCAACATTCCAAAATGCCATCTACTTCAAAGGAAGCCCATATAATCTTAGCCCTTGAGGCTCTTCGAAATAATAAAAATCTAAGTGTATTAGCTGCAGCTAAGATGTATAACGTCGATCGCAATACGCTTAAATACCGACGCGCCGGCCGGCCTGCACGACGCGATACTACGCCTAGATCGAAGAAGCTTACTCAATCCGAAGAGGAGGCTATTGTTCACTATATTATTAAGCTATCTACGCGAGCTTTTTTACCAAGGTTACGTGGTGTGGAAGATATAGCTAACCAACTACTACACGTACGCGACGCGCCCCCTATTAGCAAGCTCTAGGCACATAACTTCGTTAAACGCTAGCCACAGCTCTATACGCGTTTTACACGTAAATACGATTACCAAAGGGCTAAATACGAGGATCCGAAGGTTATTACCGAGTAGTTTACGCTCGTACGGAATACTAAAGCTAAGTACGGTATTATAAATAACGATATTTATAACTTTAATAAAACCAAGCTTATGATCAATATTATTTTTATAAATATAATAATTATAACCTCGGACGGTTTTAATAAAATAAAACTAATTTAATTTAATAATTATAAATAAATAACGGTAATTTAAGGAATTAATATTTTCGGCTAAACTATCCCGCCTATTATTATTTTAATTATATAATACTATTTTATTAATTAATATACCGAATATAATTTATTATTTACTTAACGTATTATAATTATTAATAATAATTAAGTTATTAATCCGGTAAACCTAAATTAAATTAAATATTTTAATTATTATATAGCGTTCGGTATAAAGGATAAATACCGGTTATTAATCTTTAATAACCATAAAAGTTACTACTTAACTAAATTCAAATATTATTATTAATAAGAATAATATTATTACGCTTTATATACCTCTATACTCCTCCTACTTATTACGGCTTAACACTTAGTGGGGATTAATATACCGAATATAATTTATTATTTTTCTTACGATATTATAATTATTAATAATAATTAAGTTATTAATCCGGTAAACCTAAATTAAATTAAATATTTTAATTATTATATAGCGTTCGGTATAAAGGATAAATACCGGTTATTAATCTTTAATAACCATAAAAGTTACTACTTAACTAAATTTAAATATTATTATTAATAAAATAATATTATTACGCTTTATATACCTCTATACTCCTCCTACTTATTACGGCTTAACACTTAGTGGGGCGCAGGCGCACCACGGACTAATTATTAGTACAGGGTCAAGGACCAATCAGAGTAGGATCATTGGGATCGAGGATCGAGCTAAAAGAGTTAACCCAAAATAGACAGTATTAATAGGATCGATGCTCGAGTCTATCGATCCAGGACGGTGCCAGGCTTAATATAAGGTCTATATATATAAAGGAACTAGCTAGTATAAATAAACAGTTCCGCAATATATAATTTATAATTTATATTTACGGTATCTTATATTTATATTAAAATATTTTATTATATATTATTTAGCTATACTAAACTAATTATTTAAAGTAACTTTTAATTAGTATCCTTTTTAAAGGTTCTATATAGAGGTTCGTTATACGTTATATATTTACTTTAATTCTATTACAAATAAGTTAAAAACGTTTTTTTATTACTATAATTTAACCTAAAAATATTTAAATAAGAAACTCCCGCTTAGTTTAATTATCGAAGGACTTTCTACGGTAAACGTTAGGTCTAGGGTTACTATAGCTTAATAGCTTATCGATCGCGTTAAAGAGCTTAAGGCCGAAGCCTAATAAACTAGGGAGTAGATTCTTACTCTCTCGGCGGCTAGGCCTACGTATATAATTAAGTTCCCGGTACCGGAGCGCTATAGAAGCGGAAAGGTAAAGCTTAAAGGTTTTTTAATCTAGTTTAAAACCTACTTTCGTTATTACCCGGAATAGTTCGATATAGAAAAGTCGAAGGTAGTATACGTAATTACCCGGCTTAAGGATAAAGCTTTTATTTAGTTCGAACTTATTTTTAACGATTATTATAAAGTAATAACGGAGAACTAGGAGGAGATTATTATTTAATATTTTCGGAACTACCGAGCCTTCGAGGTAAAGTTTAAAGAAATATTTAAGGAATATAATAAAGATAGGCGCGTATAGAAGAGGCTCGTAAACCTATAGTAAATATATTTAATAATAAAATATATTATTTAATTTAAAATTAATAATTTACGTAACGAAATTAATAATAAAAAATTAATATAAATCTTTTATAATAACTTTAAAGAAAAAGTAAAAAATAAATTATATAAGAAAAAAAAGTTTAATACTATCGATAAATATATTACTATAATTATATAAATTAATAATAAATAATTCTAATGTTATACGGAAAAAAAAAACTATAATAATCGGGATTATTATAAAAATTATTATTCTAACGATAAACGTAAATAGTAATATTTAATTATTAATTACTTCGGTACTATATATTCGGGACTTATAAATATTAATATTATATAATAATAAAAGCCGTAAAGTTAAAGCTAAGATAAAAATAACTGTAAATACTTTAATTATAATAAAGTAAGATACTTTAAAAAGGATTATCGGGTATTTAAGTAATTTAAATAGAAAAAGGAAATTACTATAATAATTATTATATCGAAGGGATTAAGGGTTATAAAAGTCGTAGTTATTAAGAATTAGTAAAGTAAAGTAATAAACTTTAAAGAAAACTTTAATTAATATACCGAATAAAAAAAAGTAAAGTTTTAGGGACTGCAGGAAGTAATAAAAAAACTAAAGGCGGAGTATAAAGAAAGAGACCTTTAGATATTAGTATTTTAAAATCGATTAATATAAGTTACTATAGAAATTACTATAGAGGTCACTAAGGATAATAACGCTATATAGTAAGAAAGACTTACTAAATAAACGATATTAAAAAAGTAATATAGTAAATATAAAATTATTATTTTATAAAAAATATTATTACTTATAAAACTTATATATAAAAGCCGGGAAAAATACTAAAAGGGTAAGAAAATCGTTAGTATCGGGATCGCGAAGTTATTAGGAAATATATTTATACTTATATAATATATACCCTATAAAGGAAATATAATATAACTTTATTTTAGGTATTTAAAGTATCGGAGAGTACTTTGGTTTTAGTATATTATATATAGATATATAGAGTATTATTAAAGTAAATCGCTATACGACTATTAGCCGGTATATAAGGTAAGTAAGTAAAGTAAATTATAGTTAATTAAAAAGATTATAATTAAATAGGAAAAAGCTTAAGAGGAACGGAACGATTATATTTTATAAAAGGTTTAAAACCCGGTTAAATTAAAAAATAACTTTTAAATAATATAATTTATATTAAAGTATATAAGATACTACGTTAAATATATAAACGGTTAGGATATAAATAATAATATATATTTTTAAAAAAAAAATAATACTAAGTTAATACCTAAACTTAAATTATATATTATATTTATAAAAGAAAGTTAAATAATATTATTAAATAAAGGTACTTAAATAAACGATTAAATAAAAGAACCGCTATCGGATATATATATAGAAAAATACTAAATACGTAAAAGACGGAAAATAAAAAGAAGTTAGGCGGGTATAGTTAAAAGATTTTATATTATTAAATAACCCGGAGTAAAAGGATGTTCTTAAAACGATATAACCGCTTAAAAAATAATTCGCGGCCCTTTACGGGGGCCGGTAATTTTTAACGGACTACGAACGGTATTTTTAAAAGTATTAGCGTAAAACGAAGGTATAGGATAACGATCCGGTGCTCGTTAGCGAAGTCGCTACTATATAAGGAGGAAATAAGAAAAATAAATATTTTTAGATTATAATATATTAAAAAAATATTTAAGTAATAATATTAATAAATAAAAATATAAAAACGAACCTAATTTTATTATAGTTTATATACTAAATTAAAATACTATAAAAGAAAAAGAAAGAATAGATTATTATATAAAGATTATTTCCGACGTAAAAGAGTTTACAGAAAAGTATTACCTTTAAATATTATAATCGAAAGAAAAATAATTTTAATTATATTCGATATTATAAATATAAGACCCTCGAAAGATATAATCTTAGGGTAATTATAGTATAAAAACTATAACCTAAATATCGATTAAAAGGATAGTAATTATTTATAATTAAAAGAACCTTAAAAATATTTAATTAACGATAAGAGATTAGGCGTATATATAAAGTAAAGTATAGGACAAACATCCTTTATAATACTACCGTAAAGAACTTAAAAAGTAATAATATACTTTATTAATATAAGTAATAAAATTAAAGAAATAAGATTAACGACGTTAGTAGAGATATCGGAGATTAATAAATATATTTATTATAATTATATAGAAAAAAACGAGAAAAAAGCGAGTACCGCGTAGAAATATTAAGGATACTTAGCCTTTACGGTTAAGTATTTAGAAAGACTTTTAAAATAAGGACCGTAAGATTATAAGAT